TTTTGTCACGCATCCTAATAGATATATAAATTGGCAAAATAAGTTAAAGGTCCCTAAATATGTATATGCTAAATTACTCTTTGATTCTACTTTTAGGCCATTTTACTCTTGAACAGCAATTTAAATTTCTATAGGAATACTTGATAAATTATGACTAATCCAACACTATTACTGATATTCAAGTTGAAAATTACATAAAAGTTGACTGCAGACTCTCATAAATGCATGTATTTTTTATACTGTTTCTATGACCATTCTGTTAGAGTTGAGCTCCGTAGAAGGCAATCTTCCTTATTCACAGAGAAAAGTCATCTTGGGCTTTGCTGTATAGTAGGAGAACCTGAACTCTCTATGGGTCTTTATACTGTGATGTATGCCTCCCTTAAGTATCGAGAGAGCATTTTCTTGCTTTATAATATTGCTATTAGAAAGTCCAGTACATGTATGAAGACATGAATTGATGTGAACATACTTTATACACAAACAGAGGTATGAAAAATTTTTCTATATGTGTAATAAAAATTGTGATGCATTCCACTGTCATGTATTTAAAAAATAAAGCCAATAAAAAAAGAAAGTCCCTTACTGATATATAATAATTATCCTGAAGTAATGTGGTTAATTTTTTTGACTTCTTGAATTGAGTATATAAGTGAGAGTCATATCATTTAAGTAAGAATTATGTAAATGTATCCAGATAGTGAAAAAATTAATAATAGGTCTAAAAAATTTTAATAATGACATTTCACTTATCAAATTGGCAAATATTTTTTACAATGTTAATTGAAATATAATAAACTGTACACAATGTGTACAGTTTGATCAATTTTGACATGTTTATAAACCTGTGAAGTGAGCACTTCCATTCCCTGAAACTTTCCTCATGCCTTTTGAAGTCTGTAATCCTGCTAACCCTATTCTCAGGCAATCTCAGTCTTACTTTCTGTCACAGTAAATAAGTGGCAAGGATTTTAAAAATTATAACATCTAATACCAAAATAGGAAACAAGGCACTTTCAGATATTTCTGTGAGAGTGCGAAATTGATACAAAGATTCCTTAGGGCCTACTTTGAAAACTTATATTCCAATAAATTGTAAAATCTAGAAGATATTAACAAATTTCTAGACACATATGATTTATCCAGATTAAACCATGATGATATAGAAAAACAAAACAGACCAGTATCAAGTAAACAGACTGACGCATTAATTAATAACTTCCCAACCTGAATGGAACCACCATTTGACCCAACTATCCCACTCCTCGGTCTATACCCAAAGGACTTAAAAATAGCATACTAAAGGGACACAGCCACATCAATGTTTATAGTAGCACAATTCACAATTGCTAAACTGTGGAAGCAACCTAGATGCCCTTCAGTAGATGAATGGATTAAAAATGTGGCATATATATACACAATGGAATTTTACTCAGCAATAAAAGAGAATAAAATCATGGCATTTTCAGGTAAATGGATGGCATTGGAGAAGATAATGCTAAGTGAAGTTAGCTAATCCCCAAAAGCAAATGCCGAATGTTTTTTTCTGATAGAAGGAGGCAGATTCATAGTGGTGTTGGGAGGGGGGAGCATGGGAGGAATAGAGGAACTCTAGATAGGGCAGAGGTGTTGGAGGGAAAGAGACAGGGGATTAGCAAGGATGGTGGAATGTGATTAACATCATTACCCAATGTACATGTATGAAGACATGAATTGGTGTCAACTTGCTTTATATACAACCAGAGATATGAAAAATTGTGTTGTATATGTGTAATAAGAATTGTAATGCATTCCACTGTCATTTATTTTTTTAAAAAATCAATTTAAAATTTTTTTAAAAATAAGAGGTTGATCTAGCCTTAGCAAAATGGTAGGATACAAAGCCCTTGTCCCTCCTTACCCCATGAACACACCAATTTAACAATAACTCATGGGAATATTCCCTTTGTAAGAAGCTCCTGTACCTCGGGCAAGCATGAAACCAGCTATATTGAAATAGGTAGGAAAACTGATAGAAGGAAAATATCCTTGTACCAAAATCTCAGACTCTGGCACTGTGCCGTATAAACAAGACAGCTTCCCCCACCCCCAGTACACACACAGTCTTTAAGTTGCTCCCTGAGAAGGGAAAGAGATGCATCATACATCCAGTGCCCTAACTTTTCTGAGGGCTACCCAGAGGACTGGCTTCTGTTTAGCCTATCTCAGGGTACTGATGGCACATGGCATATTCTAGCTGCCTGAGTACAGTGATACCAGATGGTCACTATACCTACTCCCCCACCTCCAACTCAGCACAGAGGTGACAGTTGAAAAACTCTAGTGCACAGATTCTTGGGGAGATAAAGGGGTGCACCATATGTCCAATGACTCAGTTTATCTGGGGGCATCCTGAAGAAATAGGCTTCAGTCTTGCTTGTCTCTGAGTGTTTGTGGGAATGGCAGACTCTGCATACCTAGGGGTTGAAGAACAATGAAAAACAGGTTAGACTAACATAAAAGGTTAAAATGCACTGAGAATCTCTGACTGGACTGAGATTAGTGAGTTTTCTGCAGTACATGGTCAGTCCCTGAAGACTAGGAGAGGTGACTCTTTTGTCCAAATGTGCAGACACCAACAGAGAGAAGCAAGGAAAAAGAAAAAGATATTTTCTAAACAAGAGAATGAGATGTCTCAGGAAATTGATGCTAATGAGATGGAGATAATATGATTTACCTGACAGAGAATTCAAAATGACTCTCAAAGATGCTCAGTGCAGTCAGGAGAGTAACTTACGAACAAAGTGCTAATTCCATCAGAGAACTTCAAACTTCAAAAAGTCCAAAATGGAAACCAAGGAGTTGAAGACTAAATAACTGAATTGAAAAAAATCACCAGAGAGGTTTAACAGCACACAAGTTTCAGCAAAAGCCATTGGGAAGAGTGAAATTATGGCATTTGCAGGTGAATGGATGGAGCTGAAGAATATCATGCTAAGCGAAATAAGCCAATCCCCCCAAACCAAAGGCAGAACATTTTCTCTGATATTCAGAAGCTAATTCACAATAAGTGGGGCTTGGGAAGAATAGAGGTTCTTTGGATTAGGGAGAGGGGAGTGAAAAGAGGGGAGGAAGGTAGGAAGGATAGTGGAATGGATTGGATAGTGTTACCCAGTGTGCATGTATGATTACATGACAGGTGTGATACTACCTCATGTACAACCAGAAGAATGAGAAGTTATACTCCATTTATGTATGATGTGTCCAAATGCATTCTAATGACATGTACAACTAATTAGAACAAATAATAGTTTTTTTTAAAAGACCATTAGGAATTAGGGGAGAATGGGCAGGCCTTTCAGGATTTCCCAAAATGTTAGCTGCTTTTAATATTATGAGGAATGCTTGTATATAAATTAACTTGGGAAATTCTGGGTTAAATCAGGTTGAATGTATTTCTGTTCTGGGCTTCTTTGATTCTTTACTATGCTAATGTATATTTTTAGTCCCCTTGAAGAGTGTGTATGAAGAGTGTGTATGAGCGCACGCGCTCATGATGGCAAGGTGTCAGGGAGAGAGAATTCATTTGAATTATTTCCCAAATTTATTTATCATGGAACGCCTTTTTTTGCAGACTCCTTATAGAACACATTTCACAAAATGAATGCTGTGGAGACGAGCAACAGTGAAACCTTTCAGTGATTCTTACTGTAGCCCCCATGTGAAACAGCGGAGGTTTCAGTTAGAAAGCTAATGGCAGGAGGGTGGGGTGGGGGTGAAAGCAAGGGCATTAAGTTGTATCTCCAAGGCACATTCTCTACAAGGGATGACTTTCATTAATTTTAAAAGATAGTATGATTTGAGCTTAATATCTAAACAGAAGGCATCAGAACAAGCAGTGTGAAATATGGCTTGAAACGTCTCTGAGACAAATGGTAGTCAAAGCAAAGGGTGCCTCTGTGTTTAAACTCTTCTAATTGATGACATAGCACCCATCTTGCTCCTTTTGCTTACAGTACCTTTCCATGGCCTGACTTGAACAAATGTACCAGATGATGAAGGGCAAATTCTAGAGATGTTGGAATGAACATTATAACTTCTTGGTTATAGGTGAATCAGAGGTAATTTCCAAAAGTATAAGTTGGGCAATACACATATAAATGGTATTGTCATAATTAACTAAGCAAGATAGGGACAGTGTCAGTTTGGGAAGAATGTGCCCTTTCTGACATGTTCATGAGTTAGAATATTCTGTGGGTTATCCATGTGGAAAAGAGAGGACCAGTAGGCCATTGCATATATAAGTTTTTGTCTCTGAAAATGTTTGGACTGGTATGGCCTTCATTTTATCTTTTGTACCTCAGTTACTGCATGTAATGGGGCAGTTCCTTTCTATTTATGAGACATAAAATATTGAACTTCAGGGTAAAAATACTGCACATATCCTGTCTTCTTCCTCATTATATTTCCACACATCAATTTCCCTTATTCTTCCATGGCTTTCTTACCACACATTAAGTTCCACTGAAACCACTTTTGTGGAGTTTTTTAAACTTCTGATTTTAGGAATATTGACACATACTTTATAACTTTGTTTATATTTTTTTTATTCACCTCTAAATAGAAGCTGCAATTGCCTCTGTAGGCATGAGGACGATAATGATTGGCAGTGCTTCTCCTTTCTTTGTTATTAAATTAAGGAAGCTATTGAGCTAACAATGCTATAACATGTTTTTTCTCAATTATTTTAAGTGTAATAACAATGTTTCTTCATTTTATTTATAGCTCCAAAAGGAATTCTTCATTTGTCTCCTGATGTTTATCAAGAGATGGAAGCCAGCCGTCACAAAGTAATCTCTGGCACTACTCTAGGCTATTTGTCACCCAAAGATATGAACCAACCCTCAAGCTCTTTCTTCAGTATATCTCCCACATCGAATAGTTCAGCTACAATTGCCAGGGAACTCCTTATGAATGGAACATCTCCTACAGCTGAAGCCATAGGTTTAAAAGGAAGTTCTCCTACTCCCCCTTGTTCTCCAGTACAACCTTCAAAACAACTGGAATATTTAGCAAGGATTCAAGGCTTTCAGGTATGAATTAAAAAGCAAAAACAACAAAAAGCAAAACAATTCATTAGCCCCAAATCCTTCATCTCAATCCATCAGAAGGTCCATTCTTGTCTGCTAGTGTGACCTTTATGCCACTTACATCGTAAATTATTTAGGAACACAGAGGACAGAAAAAAAAAGAGCCATATACACATGCCTCATTTTCTCTTACTTTCTGTCTATCCAATAATTCTTTTGCTGCCTGGCTTTCTCTCATTTTCTTTTTTCTTCTTTTCTTTTGTTTTTTTATAAACATTTTTTCATACTCTGTTTTGTCTTCCAGTTGGGTGCATCTATCTTCTTACTTAGTCTTCCACAAACAAAAATTCTGCCTTCAGATATTTGGTGTTAGTATTTCACTCATTTCTCCCTCTTTTAACATTAAAGTTGAGTTTTTCTAATGATGGGTTTACTTTTATAACAATTTTGAATTTTACATTCTATTGCTAGTAATGATTCAGGTACACTATTTAACATCATCGAAGTCTATTACCTTAGGAATTAATTAAACATGGTATTTGAATAATAATGCAACACTTTCTAGTTGTTTGAGGCATAATAATATGTATTTGTTTTATTGAATCATGTTTTGAACCATCTAGGTAGAATAGCAACTGCCTCTGATGGTACCAACAACTTTATTTCATTGAGTTTAACTTGTATGTGTGAATTTGGGGATAGAAATACCCCCCCACACACACTTATTTATTCTTCGTTCCTTTTTGGGGAAACAAAAAGTCCAACACTTCTTTATGGATGTTTTAGAGATTTTTAAAGAATTATTAACTCCAGGAAAGGGAAACACATCCTGATTTCTTAGTTGCCTTGAAAATCATGTGCTGAACTGTAACCACCACCTCGACTGGATGAACTGCAGCTTGCTCGTGTAGAAAGGTCTACTCCCCAGATCTCGCTGTTCTTATCCCCCTTTTCATCTTAGTCTTATTCTTTAAGACCAAAAACTGTAATTTCCTTTAGAAGTGCTCTAGAAGATCTGTATTATGTAGAATGATCATGTATTTATAACCATTTTACAATTTTAGATTATAAAATGAGAGAGGATCATGTGTTTTGGGGGGCATTTTGCATGTTTGGTTTTGTTTTTTTCCTTCACAGAATCCTTCTGATTCTTTCAAATTTATTGCTAGGTAGTTGTTAGTGTTTTTAATTGGACTATTAATATGAAATTAAAGAAGCTGTTACCAACTATTGGCTCTGTCATCTGAAATTTCAAATGCTTAATTTCAGGTTATAATTTTAGAATTTGCTTTTGTTGTTTACTTTAAGAATCACAATAAATCACTATTTGAAAAAAAAAAAGACCTTGATTCATATAGTTAAGGTACTAGAAAAAGTTAAGTAGCATTTAGTTCTACCTACAGTCTGCATAGTATGAATTAGAAATAAACTTTGATGAAAATAAATTAACTGCTTATTTACAAATCTAGTCATTTAGAAATGTTTGAGCATAACACTACATTTTTATAGAAGGCAAAAATTGCATTGAAGCTCTGAATTGACTTTTTGCTTAACAGTATTATAATAGATATAATTTTGTTGCCAGAAGAACTTAATTTTTTAAATTTGTTTTCATTTGTTAGTTCTTCACAATGACAACAACTATAACTTGAACATATCTTCACTGTAGTCAAAACATAATCTGCTTCCCCCATTATCAGACTGATTTCTTATACTTCTTTTAAAACTTACACTGAGACAATATACTCTTATTTATGGACAAGTTAAACATTTCCAGATCTGTGTACTGTGAATTTTACATACTAATGAATATAAACGTGGTTTTAAAACATTACTGTGCTTATTTGGCTGAATGAGCTGGTATTGATGAGAAATATTGTTGCTAATGGATCACAACCACATCTGGGAAGTAAACAAAATCTCTGTGGGAAGTGGCTTAGTGTTTGTCACATGCATAGCTCATTTTCATGTCACCATAGAAAGTTCTTTGTGGTTAAGAGTTTTAAAGCCTATTTCTTTCTAGATAGGTGTATATACCTAGTAGAAAAACATGTAGATTGTTTCTATTTCTTAAATGTTTTAATTAGACAATAGTTTAGAAATTGTAGGACCAGTTTTGTTAAGGATAATATGCCATTCTGTTAATTTTATTTCTGGAATTTAAAAACAATAAATTCTTTTTCTTTGTTTCTAGGTTAGTACCTTTTCATTTTATTGCACACTGAACAAATATTATTGCTTATTGAATATTGTATAAACCTTTCTTTGGCCTTCCTTTGCCCATTGCAAGTTGATTTAATCCTAACCAAGCTATTGTATGTGACGGCTATATTGTATTACCAAGTAAAAATATGTGAGTATGTGGAAAATGAAATTGTTTTAACTTTTAACTGTTTTCATTGTACAGTCTTTAGTCTTTTCATTTCATAGTTGAAATTATAAATTACAAAGTTAATTTATTCATTAGGATGTAGGATTAAATTCACATCCTTTTGTTTATATTTACAACAAGGAAAATTACTATACAATTCAAGTTATTAACAGCTAATTTCACAGAACAGAAAATAACTCAATACTTGTACATTCTCAGTGATTCTTTTACCCTGGCTTGAACTTAACTTGAAGATTTTTATCAGTTTTTTAAAATATTTTTTTAGACGTTGATGGACCTTTATTTTTTTCATTTATTTATATGTGGTGCCACAACCCCAGCCCAGATTTTTATCATTTTAGAAGCAAACCTTTGAATCTCATCATAAATGAATATTTTTTTTCTTTTGAGTTTTGAATGCATTTTAATTATCTTCTTTTAAAACTTGAACATTCTTAAATGATTTTTGATTAATTAATTATTAATGATAATAGTATTAGGGATTGAACCCAGGGGCGCTTTACCACTGAGCTAAATCTGCGGTTCTTTCTTTCTTTCTTTATTTTTTTGAAGCTGAATCTCACTAAGTTGCTGAGGTTCTTGCTAGGTCTTTGCAAGTCTGACTTGCAATCTTCCTTCCTCAGTTTCTTGAGTTGCTGGGGTTACAGATGCCACCATACCCAGTGGTTTATTACTTTTAGAAAAGTTTTATGTTAGTAGTTCTGTGAACCTCAGATGTTGTGTAGCATATTCAATCTGCTTCCATAACTTCTACACATTTTATAAACTCATTCAAAAGCTCATTCAATACCATAGTGTTTTAGAATTCCTTTTTTGTATACTTCATAATCTTTTATTATAATACTACAGTGTTTCAAAATCATTTAGCTTTTTAAAGAAAATTATGGCAAAAATGTTCTTGAAATGCTGTGCATTTGAACTGAAGTAGATTTCATGTTTACATTATTCTGTTTTTATGTCTTTAATATGCTTTTCATACTAATTATACTAAAACTCTTTTGTAACTAATAAATATAAATAGTTCCTAAATGAGCCATTAGAAAAATGATTAGATTAGGAATGCATGGATTATTTTAGTAAATTATCTTTTCTAGATGGATTTAATTTCAATTTGTATTCTATATCTTTCATGTGATCATTATCCATTGAATAGTACAATTTGTGAAAACTTCAGAGTAAAATATGACATACTAAATATATATATATATAAATAGTATATGTTTATATGTATATATAAATATATATATATAAATAACATAAAGATATTAAATATAAATATATATAAATAATATAAAGAAGCACTTAGTATTTTAGTTAAACTTCACTGGCATATTTTTCAAAATCAAGAAGTGTTTTCTAGAAGGCTTTTCACCATTGTGAATTTTAGATGATGGTGTTATTTCCAGCAAGATGAGAAGGTCTACTTCAATTAAAAACTTTTTTTCAAATATAATTTGCACTTAATATATTTCAATTTATTTGTCTACTTTGTGAAATTTAATACCACTATAGCAGTCTTCTTTTTAGTTACAGGTTTCTTGTAAGTATTTAACACTATGATCTTAGTATAGACTACACTGAGATGGGGTTGGGGGTAGGGTAGGAGGGGTGGCTGGGCTCCCTGAGAATCTGAAAATTATCATCCGTTTTCCTATCTCTTTTTTTTTATCATCTTCTCTGTATTTCATGTTTTGTAATCCATATATTTATAATTGAAGTGATTATTTTTAGCTTATGCGTGTGTATTTTGAAGAATGGGGTATCCATTTTGTAAAAAGACTAATATAAGTGAAACTTTATAATTTACCAGTAGGAAAAGATGCAGAAAGAAATCATTCATATACACATATATACTCACATAGAAATATGTTCTCCCTCATTTTTAGTTTGTCCTTGAAGCATAACACATTATTTCATCTTAGCTCAGATTTTCACCTAGTCTGTTAAACAAATGGTACTATAAATGAGCAAAGCACATTTGTAGGTTTGGAATGGGGTCAGCAGATGATGCTATGATTCAGTAGCTCTTTGAAAATCTTTCTTAAACTTGGCTTCTACTGCTTTCCAAAGACCCTGGAAATTTAGGTATGTATTTGAACTCTCCTAAAGGCTCGGTCTTCCTATAGTTATCCTAAAACTCAGATGTATTCTTTGAATGGGCAGCCCAAGTTTATGACCTATCATGTCAAATACCCTCAGACCTTATATGCTGACCAAACCCCCAGGGGTTTGCAGATATAACTGTTCTTCCACAAAAACCAGTGGAGTTAGACATCAACTCATTTTATGGAAATTATAAACTGGAGAAAAATGTTACATTCGAAGAAAGAAATATTGATGCAGATAAAAACACACTTTGATGAGTAACAATAATACAGGTAAGAAATAAGCAGACTTGGAGTAAAACAGTTCATCATTGCTGCAATAACTATTTGGGACTAACGCCACCCTCAGTCACAGCAGTATGTACCTAAGAACTCAAAAAGTCAAAGACGCTCATCTTAACCCTTCATGCACAGTGTATACATAGTGAGGCACATAAAATATTTTTTAAGTTAATATACGTGCACAATAAGAGCCATTTCTTTTTTCCATGTGGTGCTGGTAATTGAACCCAGGGCCTTGTCCACACAAGGCAAGCACTCTATCAACTGAGCTACATCCCCAGGCCCCAGTAAGAGCCATTTCTAACACAGAAACTTTGATGTAGACCTGAAATGAGCCACCATGGTGCAGAAAAAAAAAAAAAAATGACTGTTACTATGTGTACTCCCTAAGTAGAAAAACCTGTAGCTTTCTATGTATCACAAGAGATTTTCAACTCAACATGAAAATTGTTTAAAATTTTATTTGAAAATCAAAGCCTGAAGAAAAAAAAACATTTTCATCTAAACATGGATTACATTTCCTTTTACCTAATGACATAAGATTAAATATAGTACCCATTACATGGCTGGCAGATATTACCTCACTCCATTCCAAGTCATGTTGAAATGTCCCAGTGTTGTCCTCCCTCCAACATTCAGAGAGATTTTTTGAACACACAGCAATGGCTACAATTTCATATGTATTTTTCTGTCTTTACCAGAGGCAACTGGTAAAAGAACAGCATGGGAAATACCACATGTCAAGAATTTCTGCACACTCACAAAAAAGCAACACAAACAAAAAAGTACCTGCTTTAACTTACTTCATTTAGGAGATAAATGGATAAACAAAGGAAGGAAACTGACATTTATTGACTGGCTTGCTATATTAGATAGTGAAGTAGGCAATGTATATGCTATTTTGCAAGTGTCTTGATACATTTTTGCTTACAAATATATATTTTTTAAATTATAGTATTATTTAATGTTTGAAGACTAGTCCATGGGGGAGGACTGATTTGTGGTGGTCTTCTAGATATTGCTTTATTTTAATCATAGATTTTGTTCATACATTTAGTTCTATTCTTAATTCTATACACAACTGAGTGTGAGGCATTTTAGATTTTGACACTTTTGAGCTGGAATGGATGTTGGATTTTATTCTAAAATTAAATTTCATATGTAAATGCACATTTAAGGGCAAATAAGTAAAATATCACTTTATAATATAGTATATTTGTTTTCCCCTCTGGGATTACTAGTTTATTTTAAACCCTGACTCATTTTACATTCTACAGTATTCTGCCATCTTTATGTGGTCCCATCAAAAAGCAAATTTAACAGTCAGACAAAATGGATATTTTAAAAACTTCTTGTTTTTATCTGTATCACTTTTTTTTTAAGTGTAAGAGAAGTCAATAATTAAGTCCATTGGTTGGAACATTTGAGAAAACAAGGACTGGACTACTTGATACCAAGTTTACAGTTTTAACATCTTTTATTAACTTCTTAGTAACATTATGAACAGTTTTTAATCTTTTCAAGCGAGCGTGTGAAGAACTTGATTATGAAATTAGTCTGGCTGTAGAATTTCATGCCATTGAACATTCAAATTAATTCCATTGAAGAACAGGAAATGATTATTTGTTTATTCACTCCGGGTAAATACTAAGTAGCATGCTAAGTAGTGGATGCAGAATAAGTTATGGCCATTTGGGGACTGGACAAGTAAATAAACCAATATTCAAAAGATGAACTACTGTCACAAATTAGCTCAGTTTCTAGGTAGGGATAAGTGTTCAAACATTACACAACAATTTGATAAAAATAATTAAATTTTAGCATGCTGCATGAAATAATGTGGAACAATGTATAGTGCTTGCCCCACATATTGTGTGTCATAGTCAGAGCGTAACTTTGTAAATGTTAATTTGAGATGTGATAATTGATGTGTAGAATCATGAATGGGTATAAACAGTTTTTCCCTGTTAGAGAAAAACTGACAGCAGAAGGGACATTTGAATTAAGATTTCAAGAGTACATAGAAACTTAAGGTGAATTTTAAAAAAAGGAATTATAGGTGGAAAAAAACAAAGTACTGAAGACATAAAAGGGTATGATATTTTAGAAAATACTTAAAAGTGCAAATGGTTGATGGGGAGGCTGAACTGATATGTGTGTTTTATTGAGGTTTGAGTTTTTTAAGCAATTAGAGACCTTAAAAGAGTAGTTATGTGATTCTTTTTTTGGAAAGATAATTCTGTAAGCTGTGTAAAAGAAGTAGACACCCCTGCCCCCCCCCAAAAAAAAAAGAAAGAAAAGGAAAAAGAAAAGAGAGACCACCGGGAGAAAGATTTAGAGTGGTTTTACACAAATCCAGGGGAAAAAAATAAAGATTGAATTAAGACAGAACCAGTGGGCATAGAGGAGTGGGGCTGGGGTACAGTTGTCTAACATGCATTTGGGAGAATTAAATTATCCCTTGTGCTGACTTCTGAGAGGACACTTTTACTAGGCTGCTTAGGGTAGAAACAGGAGTTAATGTGTTGTGGTGTAGAAACCACTTGAGTAAATGAGGTAGTATGAATGGGAGGTGTTTTAGGCAATGTTTTATTTTTAGTATGAATGAGAT